CTCGATATTAATACGGGCCACGAGGTGGTGTCGTCGTTTCTTCTCGAGCGAACTTTCAATCGCGATAATCAAATACGGTGATTCGGAATCTTTGCAAAGGACGTGAAAGAAAAAGTAAAAAAAAAAAAGAAAGAAAGAAAGTATAAGCCGCCGTGCTTCCGTAACGAGAGAAGAAGCGACACAATTTCCTCGTCTATTCGAGCTTTCCAATTGCGTTCCGCTGCTGTTAATGTCCACGGATCAGGGAGGACTCTGGGGGGGAGGGGGAGGGGGAGGCAAGAAAGGGAAAACGCGAGATAAATCGTGACGGCACGTCGCGTGTCTCAATCGCGCGCAGGGCACGTCTCGTTTAACGCGAAGAGAAGCCCGGAGGAAATTAACGAATTGTCGAAGGGGATGGACGTTTTCTCCCGAGTGGCGTCTCAAACCAACCTCGTATTGTACTCGCGATTACTCCTCGATTTCGATCGCGACTTTTATCTCGCCGGGAAATAAATTCGAAGAAAATTCGCGGAAAGAAGTCTCGTGACCGTTAGCAGCTTTCCTCCCTCATCTTCCTTTCACCCCCCTCAATTGCCAAATTATATATCTATCCAATTCGCGCGATGATTAGAATGGGAGTTAATGGGAGATTCGAAGATCGGTGTCAAGGATCATCATTAGCTGGACACACTCGGGATTGCAAACAACTGTTATTCAGTTATTTCACCCTCACGAATACTTTTCTCGGGAATAAATCGCCCGTCGACAGGGTTACAATTGTCTGGGATCTGCGTTAGTTTTTCTCGTGGGAACAAATCGGCTGTCGCGCAACTACGATTCACACAGTTTTGCTCTCGGCTACGACTTACTAAGCTCGTCGACCTCCTTTTCCAGATAAACTAACGTGAGTTCCTCCATATACGGCAGCCGAACGCGACATAAAATTTCTCTACTTCCTGTAGCGCAAGACAAATCTTGAGTGAATAAGAAAAGAGACGTATAGAAAATAAAAAAAGAGAGAGAGAGAGAGAGAGAGAGAGAGAGAGAGAGAGAGAGAAGGGTGATACGTGATGAATGAGAAGCGAATGATGGACAATGGCGACGGAGAGGAAGAGTATCGGACAATTGAGGTCCTAAGATATTCTAAAGAGGGTGGAGCGTGAAATTTCGCGAATAGACAAAGCACTCGCGACAAGTCGAAAGCCCTTTGTGATCGGCGAATATTTCGAGTCGAACTCAAAACTAAAATTATACTGGCAGTCGTTGCAAATACAATCCCTATTTTATAATTTTATAGGATAATCAATTGGTTTTTCTTACACAGCGTCATCAGGCAATAAAAATTTACATTTTTTTCTCTATTGGAATCATTTTTCTCATCATTCTTCATTCACAGTCACTTAATTGAGATTTGTATTTATTAAATTAAATACATTCGCAAATGCTAAAAAATTCTATTTCTTGGATAAATTTGTCATATATATATATATATATATGTGTATGTTTAATCTGCATCATTGATGAACATTTCAAATTGACCTTTCAAGATGCATATTATGGAATAAAACAAGATAGATATTTGTGCTATGCTGCCCATGGTGACGTAAATAGAGACATAATAGAGACCAACGTACAACACATTTGCTTTCTGAATCATTGTTGATGAATAAATGCAAACGTGATCGATCATGAAAGGATCTCGCGAGTATGAAAGGATCAATAAGGGAGAAGATTTTCGGTCAGAACGTTCGGCAAATGTTGTAATTATAATTTTAAAGCGTCAACAACGTCAACGTTCATTCAGTCACATTATAATTTTATATCAGATGATATTGCAATAAGAATGTTTACGTGATAATTAATATTAATGTAGTTCTTGTACCAATATTAATGTTATTAATTATATTAATCTACCCGAGCACATGAATAATTGCGAAACAATGTCGTGACCGAAATTCATTATTCCACGTGGCTGACCCAGGCAATACGATCTCTTCGGTATGGGAGGAAGAGTATATAGGAGAGAGAGAGATATATATATACTGCATAAATACAGAGAGAGAGAGAGAGAGAGAGAGAGAAAGAAAGGGGAACTAGAGATAGCGAGATAGAAAGAGCGGTACGAAGAGAGAAGAAAGAGACATGATTACCTTCAGTGTTAGTGTCGTCCTGGGTGTAGCACAGCATGAATGCTAGAACATAACAAGTTGAATTCATTTATACGTTGCGTTACTAAGTAAGCGGCCGTTAGTTTATCGCTAGAATTAATTAGAAAGCGCTAATAAACTCTCGAGGACTCTCCTACTTTTACGCGTGAGCAATTTTGACGGCACGGGATGGATTTGATGGATCATGAAGACGCTGCGAGTGCACTTGATTCGAATCATCCCCCCCCCCGAATTATCCCCCTTTCTTTTCCCCCTTTCTCGAAGTCGTGATTATAATCGCAATTGTAATCTTGCGGAGGCTGCGGCAACAGCCTCCTCGAGCCGCAGCGATCACGATTGGAATTACGTTGGCATTACGTGTCGGAGGCGCAACGCAACGCGGGTTTATATCATCAAGGTGTAATTTTTCTCTTCTCACAACATCGACACGTGGGTAAGTGTCGCTCGCTACGGAGATATTCATGCTCGAGAGAAACATCGAAGGAGGGAAAAAAAAAAACAAGAAAAGTATCAGCTGTGTGTACAACTCAAGACTGTAACACTCTTCCTTTCGCCGTCTAAGCTAAGTGTTAAGAAATGTCTGTACCTTTCCAGACGAGTCTCGCGAGGTCTCTCGGAGACCGAATCGCGCTTTATCTCGCCCGAGGAGCGAAAAATCTCCTCTCAAAATCTACACAACATGAGAATGTGCGACTAATACATGCATCTAACACTTCGAATGTCCTCTTTCTCGACTTTACCGATCCTGAGGTAACCCCCGAGGAAATGGCATCTGATGGAGGATGATGTGCTTCGTGACGCGATCTTTGAGAGAGACGAACGGGATGCGGTTTCTACCACGTTTCATTACTGTCCTTTCGTGGAGGAAAGAAAAAAAGAGGGGGGAGAGAAAAAGAACATATACGAGCTACTGTCTGAGAGGAAACATTGCTCTACCGTGCTCAACTGAAATTTTTGCGTGAAGGCTAAATAGCGAAAAGCTAAAAGTTAGAAGCGGAGTCGAGAGCGCAGATAAGAGTACGACGGTGTAGGGGATGTAGGGGGGGGAGGGAAGGACGGTGCAGATTCCGTATACGGGGTGGAAAAGTTCAAGGTGCAGCATGCATGCGCAAGCGAGGTCGCGAGGATGACGCGAATGACGCTGCCTGTGGCTGCTGAACGATGCACGGTGATTGCCCGTGAAGCGTGACGCAAGCACTGCGAGATTCAATCTCGGCCAAAAACTCAAATTCGATCCGTGACGTGACGACTCGACTTAAAAACAAAACGCAGTAACGCGGGCTAACTTTTTTTTCGTTAGAGCAAAACGAATTCTCGCGATTTTAATTTTGATAACTTTAATTAACCGGATTATGCGTTTTTTTCATAAACAATTTATTTTGCAAGAATGATGAAAAATCGAAAAAAACTTTCAATTTCTTGTTTAAATTATGACGATGTGTTTAGATCGCTGGACCCTAGAATCTCGTCCCAAGTCGGGCAGGTTTTGCGGGAGTGAATATTAAAGTTACTGTCGTTGCGTGACGAGTGAACAAAAGCGTACATTTACAACAAAGCTTATTATTTGTCTAATCAGTTAAGATACTTACGAGTGGGATCGTTCTCATTCTCGGGTGTGGTGGGCGTTCCTACACAAGCAGGCAAAATAAAACAAATGTCACGTTTTCACATCGTAAAACACAAAAGCTCATTTCTGGGCATTTTTGACTGGGGCTCATAGCATCGGAAGTTGAGGCCTCGTATCAATAGTCTTACTTGCTCTGATGAAAATTACGTTTCTCTTCACACGGGAAATTATTTTTGTAATCTACTTTTTGTAATCTTGAAAAATGTATTTTTGAAACTAATTTGGAAAGCAGAAATTGTAAATGTATTAAATATTCAAGCCAACACTGGCGTGACGTCATTACTTCGCCAGAGTACAAACGACAACGATAAAAGAGGAACACTTTAATGTCTTTAATGTCATATTTCAAACTATAACTTTCTCAGGTAAACTCCCCGAGTTTGCTGCAGGATATGGAATTGTGAATTATTAATGAAAAATTGAACCTATCGATTACGAAGACTGTGACCGAGGCTTAAAGGTAAGGAATCATTATAACACAGCGGTTATAAATCACATCGGTATATAAGTATAGGCGGATACAAATATGGCGAGAAAAAACACGTAAAAACACAATAAATATGGACCAGAACATGCACAGAACGTGCAGGAGGGAGGAGGGGACGACAATTATTTTCTAAATACTCACGTTCCTGATCAGAACCATCCTCGGACTTGTCATCCTTGCTCTTCATAAACGGAAACTTTCTGCTAAACGAGAAGTTTTTCTTCTTCCGGTCTAGTGTTGATTGCTGAAATCAACAGGTTTACTGCGATGCCGTCGACAAATCGTATATATTTCGTAATTTTGTGCAGAGACGTGGCTATTCACGAGAGGCGATTTCATGAAATGTTTATAGTTTATAGTCTTTAAGAAAAATAAAGTAAAAGTATACGAAGTAAAATATTAAAATAATCACACGCAAAAATTGTGTGCAAAAATTTGAAAGTATCAAATTAAATAATAATTTTTATATAAATTCGAGTTTTTGTATAAAATTTTTCTTGAAATACCATGTTAAAAGAATAATTCTGAAAAAAATTTATGTCTCATTATAATTTATTTTACAGCAGAGAATTGGATTTTCTTCAGAGAAAGAAAATATTAATAGCTGCAATATCGTGCGAACTTAAAATTAAATTTTTGATTCTAATAAATTTACAGATAGCCAAGAGAACGACTGACTAGCTATCAATTGCAATGAATATTTAATTAGTTTGGATGAAATGTTGTCAGATGGATACATTTTATAGAATATTTTATTAAAAATTTACGGTTAAATTTAAAATATTAAAATGCCATGTCAATTTTTTGTAAAATATTAAAATGCCATGTCAATTTTGATCAAATCTTTAATTATTTTATGTCGAATACTTTTAAATGATAAACCAAATTGACCACTAAAAAAAATATCGAGGAACGAAACATTTTGTTAAGGATGAAAAAAAAACACAATTAATTAAAATAATTCCTTCGTACAGTCGTCAAGTTATATCGTGATTTTCGTGAATATTAATCGTTGCTCGAATTTGTAATAAAAAAAGCCGCATTTATATGTATCTTCTCAAATGAAATCGTGTATTAGTTCGTTATTTTCGAAAAAAATTATTACATATTTTTGATAAATCCTAATCGGACTCACCTTATCAAGAATGACCGGCATGTGTCCCTGGAACTTGACAGAACGGTCTCTGGCACGTTGCTTACGTTCCCATCGTCTGCGCGAGGGTATTATGCCCAGACCTTCTTCCTCGCCCTGTGGGGTAACTCTTCTTGCCTGCCACCATTCATCGTCGCTGGCGTTCGTCACGTGCAAGATCTCACCATAACGGAACGCCAAGCCACGGCTTGGCAGACCATCGTCCTTGTTGGGGTCGTAGTCGAACAACGCTCTACGAAAAGATGCGATATTATGACGCATTTATCTTTATATTCTGTATATTCGCGAAATCGCGTTACTTAAACGTCAAGAGAGAGAGAGAGAGACAAGATTTTAAAGATTACGATTCCATGTGACGAATGAGCGAAACACATAATTGCTGCAAGCTTGACGATATACCTCACGTAGAGTGACTTCTTCTGGGAGGTCCTCATGAGGGTGCCTGTCATCACATTCTGTTGCGAGATTTGCTGTTTAAGATCCTGGATCTTTGCCTCAAATCTGTTGTAATCCTCCGGTTTGTATTGCACCACGATTGTCACTGTCTGGCCGGTACCCTAAACACCACGAGAATATAAACTGAATCTTAACGAACGTTAACGAATAATTCGCGAGCATTAAAATGTTCGAAGTTATCGCATTTACGCGGTTTAGTAATCCACTTTCGAAATTTAATATTTTAATACGATAAATTCCGTTTCGCGAGAATATTCGATTATTTTATATTCACCTTTTCAACGGAACGTAATCTCTGAATATAATCGGGAAATATATAAATAAAATATAATCTAAAGCCGATGCTGAAATTCTCACTTCTACAAAATTTTCTATAGACTTTGTAAAATCGGTAAAATAAAATAAAACTAAAAAAGAGGTCTCACCTTGAGAGCCGCGGCGGCCTCCTCGTGGGTGGCTGTTCGGAGATTAATACCATTAACGCTCAATATCTGATCGCCTCTGCGTAATTCACCGCTGAGATCGGCCGGACCTCCGGCTAAAATAAACGAGATAAAGATGCCTTCGCCATCTTCACCGCCGACGATGTTGAAGCCCAGACCGGAAGAGCCTTTATTCAATACGACAGTGCGCACCTCCCTGCAAAAATAAAAAAGGATGATCCTTATTTGAAACAATATTTTCAAGAATGAGTGAAATCGCTGCTAGACCTATTAATAATAATGATCATAATACGATGTGTTATAAACAAAATATCTCAATACAAGGATAAATGTTGGCTATACATAATTTTTTCTTGCCGGGCCAAGGGGAGATATTTACAAAATATTTATAAATCGTAAATACGCACGAATGGTGTCAGTCTAAGACTTACGTCCGAATGTATTTCAACGCATTTTTCGCATTTTAATCGTGCATCAAAGTGCAACGTTTCGACGTGATTCTTATATAGACGCAATTATCACGTTAATTAACGAAAACGTGTCGGGAAATTCGTTTCGTTGTGTGCCACGCGATTTTCGCGGAACTGACGTGTACTCTGCATGTGTAACGAGATGTATAATTATGGTGTCCATACGTCCCATATTCCAAAGGACAATCCTCCATTTCAGATAGCTGTCCCTTAGATTTATTTATTTTCTCAAAACTCAATTTTGTCTCTTATTTTACGGGAAATTTTTCTCTAATTAGAATTTCAATGTCCAATGTCGTTTTCATGAATAAATTTTTAAAATACATAAAATATAAATATAACTTGTGTTGTCTTGTATCAATTACATTCTTAATTTTTTAAATTAAAATTATTCAGATTATTATTTTTATCTTTTCATTATTTCAATCAGATCCACTTCAAATTTCAATCAAGGACGTGTTCCAACGCAATCGAACTGGTTTAAAATGATCAGAAAATTTCATAGATTTCTGACAGTCACAAACTTAAGAACGTGTGGGAACAAAGCTCTAAAATTTTCAAGTTTGTCCTTTATTTTCTCAAAGAAAATATGGTCAAATGTGTGCATAATCAATATGAGAACTCGCGCGAATAATGACATCCTGAGTACGCAATCCAAATGCACTTTTATCCAATTGAATGAAACACACGGAATTCGCGGGAGAAATATGGACTTTTCATAATTAAAATAACGCAAGAGATCAATAAGCACTCGGTGCAATATTTCGAGCGACGTTGCGAATTGCAAGCCGCAAACTTTGCCAACCGCTCCCAAAATTGCAACTTTAATTATCGTAAAATTTTAACGAACCGCCCACAGATTTCCTGCAGCGGTGTGAAATTGTTAACCATTTTCTCAGCGTGATCTACTCGTATGCGAAAAACACATCGCACCTGCAGAAATTAATTATTCGAAATTCATATCTAGTTAAAAATAATAATGATGATGATAATAATAATAATAATAATCATCATCACGGAGATTACTTCTTTCCAAAAATTCTTTTATTAAAACTTGTTCACGTGGCCGCACTCTCTGACGAGTACGATCCAATAATAATAATCACGTGTGAATTCGTATAAATGGCACGTGCGTGACGCAAATGAC